GGGTGTACCCCTTCAATTTCTTCCAAATTTTCGTTTTTGGTCAATAACTCCCAAACCGTTGGATCTGCGGGAAAATTGCATAAGACCTTTCTTGTAGAGAACGACGAGATCTACAATTTCCATATAAAAAGTTTTCGCTAACGTCAATAGTTAACGAGTAATTTGCAAAAAACTGTTTTTTCGTTTTTCGTCAATAACTCGTGAACTATTAACGCTAGCTACAAACTTTTATACAGAAATTGTAGATCTCGTCGTGCTCTACAAGAAAGGTCATATGCAATTTTCCCGTATCTCCAAGGGTTTAGAAGTTATTGAGGAAAAACGAAATTTTTTGTCGAAAGTTCGCCGTTTCGACGGTGGGATGGTCGGATTTTGTCAACATCAATAAAATGCGAAATAATCATACTTAACTCATTAAATATCGAAATTAGAAGAAAAATGCACTATTTTTAATTATCGGAAATGCGTTTTTCTAAGATACATAAACTTTTGGTATTGACTATATAGCCAATAGATCCTTAAATATCTTGGTGTTCTAACAAGCTGTTACATTTGTACCATTTATTACTCAGATTTCAACTGTTAGTATTACTAACGTGTCAGCCGTATCGGGCCAAAACGCGTTTGTCTATTTTTTTAAGACACTCGACTCGATCCGCGATGTCTGAAAAAGGTCAGTAGTTCTAATCTCGTTATCTAATACCTTGTTTCGACTGTCAAACTCGATATTTATATAAGCAGACTTGTTTCAAAACAGTCTCCCAATCTCTTCGGTAGTTAAATCGATCCTCTTCGGGTGAACGGTAGCGGACCGTCTCCTAATTTCTGTTTATGCAGTCGCACTTTAATTTGACATCTAATAAATCGCGTTCGGACACACACGTAGCCTTCCCGCATCGATTTATGTATTCGATTGCAACCCAGTTGCAATACGATCGTTATTTAGACACATTTATTCAATTACACGCTCGCTGGAGCACTCACTCGTGTAGCTCTCTCCTTCGAAATCGGATCGATACCGATCCAAACGTATCAAACCCTCGGGCCTTCGGTTAATTATATTAGAGAAGAAATTGCCCGATCGTGAGAAAGAGAGTTTCTATTTCTTATTTTATAATTTCAGTGCGACCAGAAAGCAATCCATTATTTTAGCTTTTTATCAAGATAAAAATAATGGATTTTTTTCCGGTCTCCCTAATATATAAAAAAAAATATTTTTATTAACATTACATTGATTAAAATGATTTTAAAATATCTAAATTCTCCGTCAGCACTGAATGTTTCGTACTTTACGTATATCTAAGGAAAATGTTTAGATGAGGTTTCCAAGCGAGTTAGGCAAGTCTCAGATAAAAACTGGAAAGAAGAGACGTTACATTATTTAACGGGAGAAATTTATTTATTCCCGCGAATTTCTAATCCTTTAACTGATGACCGCTAATGTTTTTGCATATTCATGTTATCTTCGCTCTTCAAGCTTAACGAAAGAACATAATGCATAAATTGTAATTTAAAGAAGTGTATCTATAAATGAAGTAACAGTTACTGCAAGAGCGTAGATCGGTTCGTTTTAGCAAAGAAGCCTGTCGTACAAGGCGACGCGATAAGAATGTGTTCACGGAATTTTAATTATTATTCGTGACGTTCCTAAGTACATACCACGACGCTCCATTTAAGCAAGTCTCTTCTTATTCATTGATTTTATTGAAGGGTTGGAGAAATGAATTACTTATCCATTTATAGTAAAATTTTATTGGGACATAAGAATAACGAATAATGACAGAAAAATACAAAAGCTAATTAGATATAACAATGATTGAATGCTATAGCCATAATGAAAGATGGATGCAGTATAAAAATAATATTTTTTCTCAAAAGTTCGCAGCCAGATTTTGTAAATGATTTGATATTCGTTTGAATAGAACGAATAGAGACGCAACGTTGAGGGAATGATCGGGGCCTCCCTCATCGATCCTACGGGAGATCGAGGGATTTGACTGGAACTCCCCTAAAAGCGTATGAGTCAATGCGGCTGAACATGTATCCGATATCAGAGGCGCACCCACACGTCCTGAAAAAAAAGAACGCCTGTCTCTCCCCTCGTAACGTCGCATTGTCGGCGCAGCCGCCGTGCCTATTGATCGTCGCCTCGCGCGTCGTCATGCGTCGTCGCCGTCTTTCGCGACGCAAGTGCGGCGAGTGGCTCGTCGTTTAACGTGCATTCCTCGGTACGTCAAACGATTGTCGAACGATCGTCGTCGGCGACGCATAAATAATCGTGAACGTACGGTGAAAATTGTACGGGAGATCCTTTACGAACCTTCGCACGGCCAGCCGATCAGGGGGGGGGGAGGTACTGTGGAAGGTCGCGACCCGAGAAATCGCGATGTGAATCGAGAAAACGGTATCCCTCGTATGTGTCTCGTTAGAACGCTTCTAATCCTCGCAGGATCGGAACGGGCGAACGCGAGAAGCAGGTGGTTAGCACTCCTTTCCAAGGTGAAAGTGTTCTAAGCCAACAGGTGCGTTCGTAATTCGCGTACGGTTGCACGTGTACTTGCTTCGAACTGGCAGAGAACGACCGGGTTCGAAGGGAACCGTGAGTGAGGCGGGACACCTCCGGCCAATCGCCGACTCCACTCTCCTCGACTTTTCCTTCGACAGGACGAGTCGAAGCCGAAGAAAACATGAGCCTACTGTCCTCTTCCGCTATCGGAGACGGTGTCTGCTGCCTGATTGACGAAGAGGCCGATCACAACATGCTTCAGGGTAAATCTAGCTACCTTACACGATGCATGCATATATTTTGTAGCAGTCGTTCAAGTTCAAGGTCGATGCGGCTTTTAACACCACGAGATCTTTTCGAAAACTGTTTCTGACATCAAATGAAACCGATCCCATTTACCGAAACAATAAAAATGATTTTTAAATTCTGTCGTTTTAAATCGATGCGTTTTCCATTCAAATCGAATTGTTAGTAGAGCGAGTACGCACCGGGTCAGACGCTGGAGTCTGCGCATTCAGTAAAGCGAGCTTCATGAACCTTCTCTTTGATTCAACAAAATTTGTGAGTTACACGAATTCCAGTTGTTTTTAACAATCAATTGAATACGAGAAGTCGAGCGAAATATGTTCAGCTACAAAGTAGCGAATGGAAAAGTTTTTTTCTAGATAACCATACGCTCGTTAATCTTCTACCGATAAAGTTCATAGTCAGTCGTACGCCATTTACATTTAGTTCATTTTAAAGAAAAAACAAAAGTTTATCATATATACACGCACTGTTTTTCCAGTTTTATCTGAACGGTTTAAAATATCCGTGACAATATTATTTCCTATTCGTCACTTGCACGAGATTTATATAATCCAATGAAAAAAGAACTTTGCTAATCGCAGCGATTAGAGGCACAGTAATTATGTAAGTTTGTAGGCGATTCGATTATTTGAAGAGAATTCATTGTATTTACAGAATTTCTCACGTTCTCTTTCTGTTTAATGCAAATCGTAAAATCATAAACCTGGGACGATTCTGTTGGCAGATATTTTTATTAATTTTATGCAGTTACGTGTGTGAAGAATTCAATATAACATCCTCAATTCTGTTCGGACATTCGTCTTTACGATTACCGTACAGCTTTCGCTGTATATGGCGACGCGTGCAATTCGTATGGTATTAAGTCATTATGATCGATCCTTAGTCGCAAAGGTGTTAGAGGGACACGTTTATTTCGCATACCGTTAATTCCATGCTAACAGTAGGACGAATTCGTCTCATCAATCGTCGGAGGTAAAGTCCCCCCTTTTCAGTCGTTGCTTTTAAGCCTTAACGGTACAAAGTGCACGCGCATACTCGCCGTGTCCGCGATAACGTTTACCGGAGCCTGCAGTTTTACTTGTTAGACACTTGCCCAGGTAGGGGCAGAGACTTTGACCTGGAATGGACAGCTTCCTTTCCACGCCGACCGATCTATGAATAGCTCTTCCTATTTCAATAGATCAATCTGAAAAAACGAATCTTAATCTTAACAGTAGTCTTGTAAAAACTATAATGTAAAAGTGTAAAGTACATTTTATGATTTATAGTATAAAAATAGAAGTTGTTGGAATCTGAAATAGATCAGATCATTGTACCATTTATATAATCGAATGTAATACTTAAAACAGAGAAAAGAAAAAGATTGAATTTCATT